GCAATCAGGAGCCATAGCAGCCACACAGAGCTTAGTCTACTCCTGCACAGAGTGACAGTGGGAAACCTAAGTTTCCTGTGGGACATGTTCGTTTAAAAAAAGAGAGAGAGAGAGAGAGAGAGAGAGGGAGAGGGAGGGAAGGGAGGAAGGAAGGGAGGAAGGAAGGAAGGAAGGAAGGAAGGAAGGAAGGAAGGAAGGAAGGAAGGAAGGAAGGAAGGAAGGAAGGAAGGAAGGAAGGAAGGAAGGAAGGAAGGAAGGAAGGAACAGCAAGCTGCAGAATCTCTACAGCTGCAGACTTTACTCCCTCAGAAACATTCCTAAGAGCTAAGGCTGGAGATACTTGCCCTCTGTTAAATACATGCCATCAGTAAACCCCCTCAGCTGTGTAATCAGTTTTCTCAGCCCCAGGCAAGTGTGTCTTTTCTGAGCCCTGCCCCAGAGGTTACATAGTTTAGAATATGCAAATGAGTATCTTTTCTGACCAATCCTCCTTTTCAGGGTCACATTATCCCCCTAAACAGACTCACAAAACAGAGCCTAAACAATGTCTCCTGCAATTCACCATGTGTTATCATAAATCCTAGAAAAGTTTGTGTTTTAAGAGAGCTCACTTGCTTTCTATATGTACTTTTTATAACTTTCAGGATGAGCAAGCAGGATTTTCATCCTCTGTAGTTCTCCCAGAGAACAATTATATAATCCTCTGATGGGAGCATGATTACTTTTCTGGGATGTTTTGAAATAAACATGGATACTGCTTTGTTCAATATGGCTTTGGCTCTCTATTCTGGAGCTTTGTTTTTGTTTGTTTTTCTCATTTTTTTATTGACAGGTTCTAGGGAACTACCTCTTCAGTGTCTGCAAATGTCCAATCAGGAGACAACAATTTTCCAAAGCAATCATTTCTGAATAGCTTTCTTACAGCAAAGGAATCATTAATAATGAAATTTCAACCCCTTCCTCTTCTTTTATGTCAGTGATTACTTATCTGTGATAGCAGGGAATGTCAGGCTGGGGGAAAAAATGTTACCCCAGTCAACTACAAACCAATGCAGTAGGGAATGTTGATGGTAAGGAGATGGTTTGAGGGAAAGTACTCCAGTTAGTCTTACTAGAAAATTGCCCTGCATCAATTATTTTTAAAAGCCCATGGCTGAAGAAAGCCATGGGTGGTCTGATTTGCTGAAGGCTACAGAAACATTAAACCATCTGTTCATATCACAATAAATAGTTTCATGTTAAGTGCCCTTTATGTGTGAAGTGCTCTAAATGCTAAGCAGTCCAACTTGCTAATGATGACACTGTTACTAATTCTATTGAATTGTCAACAATGAAGAATGTCCTATAACAAATAGAACAAAATCAGCACAGAGGCTGTGTTCATAATGCTGAGCCTAATTTTAAAATGAGGTATGCGAATAACCTGTAATGTTATTGATTGCTTCATGGCTATGTCAGCAAATAATTACTTTTACATCATTAATAGACAGTTAAAGTTGATGATCAGAGCCAGGACCTAGGAATCAAACACTGGAACTAACTAGCCTTTGAAAAGCTAATTGATGTCTAGGTACTTTAATAAATATTGCTGCAAGTGTATTTCTAGACCATGCTGTGGCAAACAAGAGCTAAAGAGATTTTTTTTAATGGAAAGCTGTTTAAGTAATGACAATGCTTATATATATATATATAGGTTTAAATCTGCCATGATTCCACAAATATTTTATTATGCAGAATGCTTTGCTACTCCTGGGGAATACAGAATAACAAATAAAATGCACCTTTACCTTCTTGGAGTTTACATTCTAGAAGGAGAAATATAACAGTACACAAATAACCAATATTTATTGGAACATTAAATACACAAGGGAAATATAAATACTGTGAAAATTTGAGCAAGGAGATATCAAATTGGGGAATTAGGATAGGGAGGAAGAATCAGTCAACAAATCAAGTCAACAAACATTTATTAAACACGTACTATGTTCTAGAGACTGTGCTAAGCACTGGGAATAAAAAAGGCAAAAAGAAAACAAAAGGAAAACAAACCAGTCCCTATCTCCAGATGTTCATATTCAAAATGGGAGAGACAGTGTGCAAACAACTATATATAAACAAGATATATACAAGATAAATTGGAGATAATCAACAGAGTGAAGAGACTAGGCATTAAGGGAGATCAAGAAGGGCTTCTTGTGTAGAAGGTAATAGTTTAGTTGGGACTTGAAGGATGCCAGAGAAGCCAGGAGTCAGAGTTGAGGAGGAAGAAAATTCCAGGCATGAAGGATAGCTAGGAGTCAGAAGGTGATATGTCTTATGCAAGGAATAGCAGGGAGGTGAAGTCAGGGAAAGCATTAATATCTCTTGGAGTTTATATTGTAGTAGAGGAGGTAAAATAATATACAAATAACTAACATTAAATAGGCATATAATAAGGTCAGCACAACAGTTTTGTAGACTTCAATTTGGAAAGCAGTCTAATACCTCTTCTCTCTCACATTTTCCTTCAGAGCCTCTCAAACACTAAGCCTGCTCTGGCAATGCATTCATCAACCTCATCATTTATGTGTGTATCCCTGGAAAGTATACTCCCAAGGTAAGCGAACTTATCTGCAATATTCAATATTTCTCCTTTTGCCGTCACTGATGGTTCCAATACGAATGGTGTGGTGCTGGCTGGTGGAGAACCTGTTCTCTTGGTATTAATTTTTATACCAAAATTAGTACAAGCAGCAGAGAATCAGCCTCAGAGGCTGCTTTGAGTGCACAATCATCTGCGAATAAAAATCAGGCACCAACTTTCCCTCCACTTTAGTCTTGGCTTGTAGCCTTTTCAAGTTAAATAATTGATCATCAGTGCAGGAGCTAACCTTGATGCCATTTACATCTTCGCTGAAGGATGAAAATGTGTTCTTCATACAGTGTCTCTGAAGAAGGTCTCTGAAACCACACAGCTTTTCCCCATAGTGTGTGGCACCAACCCAGTAGGTCCCTTATGGAATGTACAAAAAGTAAATTCTCATCATTCACTTCATAAATTAGGAATCACATCTCCCTTTGCATATACAGTAGCATGCAAAATCCCACAAACTTGGTTTAATATATGAGTATGTCTGTAATACATATGTGTGTATACATAAATACATACATGCATACATATATATATATGTTGAATATATGTGTTTGCATGTGTGTGTCCCCAGTGTCTCATTTAAACCCCCTTCCCATATTGCCAACTATCTATTAAACATCACCAGCTGTATGTCTCCTAGGTATTTCTCAAGCTCAATAAGGCCAAAACAGAACTCACTTTCTTTCCCCACAAACCCACACATCTTCTAAGTTCCTTATTTCTTTTGAAGGCATCAACATTTTTTTAAATCATCCAGGTTTGCAACCTCCACTCATCTTCAATTCTTCCCTCCCCATAACCCCTCAGAATGATGTTTCTTACATTTACTTCCTTTTTTCCATTCATATTAAAACTGTCCTAATTCATACCCTTGTAACCTTTCACCTGAGCTATTGCAGTAGACCCCTAACTGGTCCTTCATCCATCACTCCCCCCCCCCCCTCTCTCTTTCCCCCTCTCTCCTCTCCTCTCCTCTCCATCTTCCATGAATCATGGAATAGGGGAGAGAGAATTGACTACAAAGCCAGCAAGACCTGGATTAAAGCCTAGACTTCTGCCACATACTTGCTATGTGACCCTCAACAAGTCACAACCTCTCAGTGCTCTAGGCAACTTTTTACAAAATGTACATGATAACTGATATACATGTACATGATAATGTACACGATATATTTAAAAGGAATAGCAAGTTGTAAATAGTAGATTTGCAGTTTCATGTGTAACCGCCTTTTTTATACTATGTTTTGGAAATGTTTGTTTTATTCCATAAATAAAAAAATAAGAATTAAAAAAAAATTTTAAAGTTGCAGAGAAGGTAAGAACCTTAGTACAAAGCATTTCTTCTTCACTCAGGAACTAACTCTACCAGCGAAATCACAGATCCATTCTCTATCCCTAAAAAACAAATCTGGACCATGTCATTCTGTTCCTTGAGAATCAGCCATACCTGTTTGCCTCTAGGGATAAAATATATACTCTTCTGCTTGGCTTTAAAAGCCCATAATCTGGCTCCAGATGACTTTACTAGGATTGCTGCCCATGTCTCTCCTTCACATGTTCCACATTCCAGATAAATTGGCCTTCTTGTAGTTCATCAAAAGGAATTTCCATCTCCCTTTCATCTTTCCATAAACTGCCCCTCATGCACAGAATGCACTCCCTCCTTGGTAAAGGCATGACTACTCATTGCCCTAGATCCTGGGGATACAGAGACAAAAATAATGTGGTCTCTGCCTCCTAAAGGAGCATCCCAGTTGCTGGGGAGAAACAACAAGTACATAAAAGAGTACCTGCAAAATAACAACTGCAGTGAGAGTATTAGTAACTGGAAAGATTGAGACAGGGAGGGGGAACTTTGGCCTATTAGACCATGTCATTTTTGACTTTGTAACCCCAGAATCTTGTGCAATGAGTAGTACATGCCTCTACCTGAGGCTGGGAGGGGTGTACTGGTAAATGTTTAACAACTGGCTCTCCAGGAAAATAAAGAGCCCCACTTTGAAGTTTAATCTGCATTATTCAGACGTTATCATTTTCTTAAATCTAGATAATCAACAAAACGATAAATCAAACCCTGATTTGAAAGTTTGGTCTATTTCTGAGGCATAAATGTTCAGGCTGAAAACTGAACAAGCTCACTTCTGTAATATGGCCTGGGTCAATGATTTCATTGGCATAGGGTACTGGTAAGTGGTGAAACTCCCTTTACCAACGCAACTGGCACTATCTCTACGTCAAGAGTTGCCTAGAGCACAAAGAGGTG